AGTAGAGAGGTAATAGAATATACAATCTTTCAGTATTTATATAAACACTAGTTTTTCTTAATATTTTTTATATTCGTTTCATATCTTACCTCCTTCTCAACAGGAACAGACAAGATGCTTAATGTGGAAGAAATTTTTATGACAGAAATATTCAAATGGAGGATGGAAAATCACTTGTTGGGAGTGCCTTTAGGAGGACTGTCTGTATCCAGGAAAAATACAAGGGAGCTGTGATTCTAATTGTGAAGATTAGTTATGAAGTATTTTCAGTTAAAAATTCTACTTAGGAAGTAGTACTTGTAATTGAGAGAATTTTGAAGTGTGGGACTCCTGTCTTCTCTGTCCCTGGATCCTGCTGCCTTCAGTGTTTTGCAAAGCCGGAGTCATTTTCCAGGTCAACAATTCTGATCCTGATGCTGTTACAAAGTAAACCATTAGCCTAGGCATGTATTGGTCAGCATCTGTTCATTTACTAAATATTTTAGAACATTAACTGGTTCTTGGCCAAATACTGATCTGATAGACTTTGAGGCGGGACTTTGCAGCCATGAACGTTCATCTGATCACCTCCCAGGATGTTTGTGAGTGCTGGAGGGACCAGTTAAGGTCATCCAATCCAATGGCGTCACTTGTTCCACACGATGCTTTCTTCATCCATCCAAACCTGCAAATGTGCAGGTCCCATAGAAAGAGCCCCAGCTCAGCTACAAGGATTCCTGGCTTCCAAAATGGCCATTGAGGTACTGTGTGCGCCTGACCAAAGTGCCTCTCGAGGCCTCAGTTTCTTGCCCCATAGTACATGGCTACTGCTGGGATGCGGACCTGGTTTTCTTCAGGTGTGAACTGGAAATGTGGGAAACTTCTTTGACGTGTTGCTTTTCCCACATCCCCCAAGGACCCACCGATCCCCATCCATTCTCTTCTCTTCTCGGGGATCCACCCTGCTCCTTCCATCCCCAGTGCAACTGTCCCAGTTCAGATCTTCATCATTTCCCACCTGAAGTATCACAATACCCTGATAACTGGCCTTCCTTCCTGGATTGTGCCCACCACCCCCTCCTCTACTACTATCCATTCTTCATAGAAGCTGTGCTATTTTTTAAAGGAAAATATGATCATGTCCCTCCCTTCTTAAGTCTTCATTGGCTTCCAATTAACTTACATGATCATACATATACTCCTTAGCATGTGCCTACACTTGATTCCCTAATATTCCAGTTACCTCCTTTGTTCTGTCTTTGGTGTTCTTTCCCTCTCACTGTAGAATCCACATCTTACCGTTTACTTACCCATTTCCCCCACAGTAAACTCCTTCAGGGCAGAGACTGTTCAAAATCGAATTCCTGTGGCTAGGACCAGCATGTGCCTGCCTGGCACCCAAAGTATACTCGATAAATAAAAACCCAAGAAGACTAGTCATTAGCACTGAATTTTAATTACAATTAGTAGTTCGGATGAAGAACAGACTAGAATAGTGTTTAAAATCAACTTCTGAAAAAAATCACATTTATATAAGGGAAATAAAATGGGCCAGCAGAAGTCCAAAAAAGGTGCAGCCTGGATTATTGCACTTGGATGAAATATGCTGTTCCGGGTAGCATAATACTCAGGCCACACAAGGGCGGGAGGAGGAGATAAACACAGAGGACAGACCCCCAGGTAGTATTTATTCGGGATTCCAAACTCTCCAGTTGCCTCACAAATATTTAGCATTTTCAAAACATTTAAGAAGAGCTCTTTACAAAAGTGACTGCGGTGTCTCCAACAGGTTTTAGTTACACCTCTGCTTTTCATTCCAAATTATGGGCAAGTTTCCTGGATAGCTCTACATCACGTGATGGGACATCTGTTACGCCAAAACCACCCAGCGCCCCAGGCCATGGAGTGGTGAAGGGGGTGAATTTGTACTTCACTCATATTTTCAGGAATAATACTGTGGCTACAGTTTACCCTTTCAAGCACTCTTCATTTTGGTCATTTGTATTGGAACATGAGAAAAAGTGACAACGAGTACAAATGAGCACTAAAGTAACTCCTAGGCTACTAGTACAAAATAAAATAAAATTTTAAAAAGTCCCCTGCCACGTTCACGAGGGTGGCGTAACTGTATGTGTAAGAAAAAGGCTGTAAACTTATAGAAAAGATAAACTCTGGCTTCTAAACAAATTACAAAATTGATTTTACCTTTACCCTTGAGTGTTATACAGGAAAATGTAAACCAGTGGACCTAGTTACCAAAAACACGTATCCTCCTAAGCCGAGGGATGGCCTTAAAGTTTGGCCTGAGCCAGTTTTATATTCAAGTTTTCTCCGAGTTTGTCCATGAACTCAAATGTGTTCAAGTAGTCAGAACGTTGCACGCTAATAAAGGAGGAAAAAGAAGAGAAAGAAATTAGTTTGTCTCTGGTCTGGTAGCAGGTAGAGGGAAAGTCCTAGAAATGCTACGTAGGTAGCATTTTATTTATGTCTAGAAGAACACTAATTAATATTAACAAGCTATGAATATATGGCTGATGACCATGCTCAAGGTTCAAGGGGCTGACCCCTGCACTTTCACAGGATGTCCCTTGCCCTGAGTCTTGGAGGGTGAAGCTATCACAGAGCTTCCATTTAGACTAATGCCTGACTGAAATCATCCCACTTCTTATTCCTCATTCTTAAAAATAACAAAACCTATTCAGGGGAACAGCCATGCTTTCATCTACATTCCTACAAATTGTCACATGTCCTTAAAAAAGTCTGAACGCTTATTTTTATCATTGTCTTACTTAAAAAAAAAAAAAAAAAGATAACGGACTGGCTAAACTAATCCTGCTGATAGGTGCCTATTCAAATAGGCTACAAAGGTAACATACTGATAAGCACATTTCAAACACTGTGTTCTTGCCAGAAATTTAAGATAAGAAAGACATGGTGGTTGAGTATATCCCCATCACTGAGGTATACTGACCCTAATGGAGATCTTGGAGGATGCACGGTTGGGACTTGGGATTGGGGTTAAACTTTAGTAGGGTTTCTTGAGGTGAGTCAATAGTGACCAACTGTGAGGGAGAAGTCTCTGATTAGCAGCCAATCCAGCGGGGATATGGGCTACCATGTTCTTAGAAAAATCCTGGGCAATAACCGGGCCTCGGTATCTGATTGTTGGTTATAGATAATTGGGACTATGACCAAGTGGGCATCTAAAACTTGTGTTGTTGGGGTGCCTGGGTGGCTCAGTCCATTAAATGTCTGTCTTCGGCTCAGGTCATGCATGATCCCGGGGTCCTGGGATCGAGCCCCGCATCGGGCTCTCTGCTCAGTGGGGAGTCTGCTTCTCCCTCTCCCTCTGCCTGCCGCTCTGCCTACTTGTGCTCTCTCTGTCAAATAAATAAATAAAATCTTTTAAAATTAAAAAATAAAACTCGAGCTGTTTTTCTTACCCATAAATTGAAGAAATTAAAGGGATAGAGTACAATAGCCTTGGAGGTCCCTCTGTTTCAACTGTCTATAATTTTCTTGTTAAAAAGAACCTTGTCACCCAAAGATCATCAACTGGATCAGAGGTCAGCAAACTACAGCCTGGCCCCTGGACTCCATCCAGGCTACAGTCTGGTTTTGCAATTAGTTTGATTGGAACACTGCCACATCCACTAGCTTCCGTATCATCTATGACTGTTTTCCTTCCACAGTGGCAAAGTTCTATAGCTGTATAGTTTTGAAAAGGCTGTATGTTCCCACAAAGTCTGAGATGCTTACTGTTGGCATTCTATAGGTAAGTGTCTGTTGATCCCTGAAGTAGGCGATAAATAACAATTCATGTACTTCCAAAAAGCCGTGATGTTTGGAGCCCAGAAAAGAATGTTTTGAGCCCAGAAAAAATATGCGGTGATTTGACTGCAGAGCTCAAGGCATCTTATACTTACTTGGGCAAACCTTTAATACAAGCAGCCAAGTCCTTGGTCATGAAGCCAGCCTCAATGGTCTCAATACAGACTTCTTCCAAAGCCTTGGCAAAGAAGCTGAGCTCTTTATTGTTATCAAGCTTAGCCCTATGGGCTAACCCTCTGGTCCAGGCAAAAATGGAAGCTGAAAGAGCAAAACAAAACCAAAAAACCAACACTTAGATCATACCAAGAGGGATTCCCAATTGTTTCAGTTCCCAAAAATACAACAATTTTCTTTTGTTTAGGTGACTTGATTCCATTAGACGCTATCCACATGGGCTATATAAGAACTGGAAGTATTTTTACTGAATAGAAATTTTAAAAAAAACCTGTCTCTTTGTGTATATTTCAAGAAACACCCTCAAATGGCTCTTATTAGTAGAACAGATGCACTGTTTGGTGATGATTTTATACACAAAGCATTGGGCAGCCAAAGGAGCACGTCTGGTTCCCTTTGGAGATCGCCACTCTTTGGGTGGAAATCAGTGTAGCAGTAAACACGATCTTACCGATGGGATTGGTGGACGTCTCCTGTCCGTTCTGATACATGCGGTAGTGACGTGTCACCGTCCCGTGGGCAGCCTCTGCTTCTACGGTCTTGCCGTCTGGACAAATCAGCACGCTGGTCATCATGCCAAGAGAGCCATAACCTGAAGTGGCAAAGCATGAAGTATTGGGGCCAACTGCAGGAAGAGCACTCTGTCTCTCGATGCTGAGCAGTCTCAGGAAAATAAGCAAAAGCATATGTAGTCATCAGTAATTCCACCTTTCAGGAAGCAAGGTCCCAGCTCCAGACCTCAGGATCAAAGAGTCTGGAGAGGCTACGCTTCGCTTCTTCTTCACTTGTCTATCTCAGAGGCACCTGCTCCGGGATGGAGAACTCAGGATCTGCCTGCTTGCATTCTACCCTAGTACTGTGACTTCCTTGCTACTGTGACTCAGTTTTTCCTACCTGTAGAATGGGAATAATAAAAGCACCTCCTTCACCAGATTGTTGAGAGAATTAGATGAATACACATATATTTGTGAATATATGTGAAAAGAATACATATTCATCTTCCTTAGAATAGTACCTGCCACAGAGTAAGAGCTCAGTATACTGCCGCTTTTTTTTTTTTTTTTAAAGATTTTATTATTTATTTGAGAGAGCGAGAGCAAGCACAGAGGGAGAGTGAGAGGGAGAAGCAGACTCCCCGCCAAGCAGGGAGCCCAATCCCAGGACCTGGAGATCATGACCTGAGCCGAAGGCAGACGCTTAACCATCTTAGCCACCTAGGAGCCCCATATTGCCACTATTCTTATGTGCAGATGCTGTGCTGTTCCAGGAAAATAAAGATCAATGAGAGTTGTGTCCTGCTATCAAGCTGCTCAGATTCACTAGGACTGGAAAGGCAGGTTGAAAACAGGATGGGATGATCCAAGAATATCCCTCTTGCCCTTGCTCCCGGTAATAGTCCCAACAAGACAGTCCTATTCTGTGGCTTCCTTTTCAGAGAACAACATTAGCACTTTTAAGTCCAGACAATTGATTTTCCTTCTCTTATTCACTCTTTTACACTTGAATTTGAAGAATATCTTTTTCTGTTTTAGCTACCGTCCAATAGCACCTCTGGGGTTAATAATGCAAATTTATCACAGGCTGCTACGTTTGCTTTTTTGTGTGTTTTTTTTTTTTTTTTTGGTTTGAGTAGATACATAAACAATGTTTTTTTTTAAACTCATTTTTTAGTATCGTTAGAAACTTCTGCATGGGACTAGTAGCTCCTTTCATATCATTGCGTTGGTCTGAGGCTTTGGTAGACTCCCAAATACTTATTGGAGAAGTTCAGGACCATATCCATAGTGAGTTTGCTTATGGTTAATATCAGGACACTAGTTGGTACCACAGTCAAAACTGAGGACCTAAGTGGTATGAGTCCGCAGTAGCTCATATCCTAGGAAAGACTGGACATGCGGACAGCACTGTTGCTTTTGCCTGTTGTGCCTGTTGAGCGGTACTGAGGTTACATTTATCTACAGGCTCTGCCCAGACACAGAGCCTTGGTACCTTATCAGTGCACTGCCGGACTCTGCACTTCCGAAGTCCTATTTCAAAGTCCTTTGACCCTCCATATCTTGACATTTACATTCGAAAGATCCATCCAGATACTCTTTGTGGCTATGAGGACATTTAGAAAGGGTGGAATGATTTGGGTCCCTTCCCAAGAAATCTGCTCATAGGAATAGTTTCCCTTACCCACCCTGGAAGCATCATAAAGCACCACTCTTTCCTCTACCGTACACAGCACAAAGGATTATGAGGATGTGGAGAAACAGGGGGAGCGTAAAGAGAATTGTCTAACTCATTTATCTGACATAAACCTGGGTTGATCTACCAATTTTCAAACTGGCAGGAGGTGCTTAACTGTTCGTAAGAGAAAAGAAGAAGTAGTACTTCCTGGGGAAAAGCAAACAGGATTAAAGTTAACACAAACGTTTATCAGGGGAAGATTCACGTTTACATAGCTGCCAAGGGTAACTGAAACTGAAGGGCAGCTGGTGCTGAAGAAAGCAGGGCACGGAGAGTGTCTGTTGATTTGGCCCTTACCTCTGGCATAAAGCCCCTGGTTCTTGGAATTTCTGTGAACAGCCCTCGGCTTCTCTGCTTGTGTCAGATGGAACAGGATGGCTCGCAGGGCTTACATTTCAGCATTTAACAAACGAAGGGCTGCAAAACCCCCCTTCCCAAACTAGAAAACTACTGTGGCATGACCCATGTGCCACCGGCTGAGCTCCACCTCTGCTCGGTCCCACAGCTCCTTACCTTGGGCCACGGAGTCTGACTGCACATCACCATCATAGTTTTTACAGGCCCAGATGAAGCCTCCCTCGGATTTCATAGCTTGGGCCACCATGTCATCAATGAGCCTATGCTCATACCAGATTTTTTGGGCTTCAAATTGGGATTTGTACTGCCTAAGAAGCAAGAGAGAAAAGGGAATTAAAAAGAAAATTAGGGCGCCTGGGTGGCTCAGATGGTTAAGTATCTGCCTTCGGCTCAGGTCATGATCCCAGCGTCCTGGGATCAAGTCCCGCATCGGGCTCCCTGCTCCTTGGGAGCCTGCTTCTCCCTCTGCTTCTCTCTCTCTCTCATGAATAAATAAATAAAATCTTAAAAAAAAAAAAAAAAGAAAGAAAGAAAATTAGTGTTACTAGGGACGGCACTTGCTTCCCCAAAGAGGGTGGGGCTGGAAGCAGCATTTTTTAGTAGAAGCAGCACAGACTTGAGAATCTGATAGACCTAAACTCAAATCCTGCCCATTTTTTAGCTGTGAAACCCCATGTTCCCACCTGTTAGAGTGATTTCACCTCCTTCACAGAGATGGAGAATAAGGGAGAGAGTAGAGTGTCCCCAGCACTATTTTTAGTTTTCAGTACACTACTGATCAGATTCTTGAGATACAGCTTACTTTAAGAATGTAATAATGGGAGCACCTGGGTGGCTCAGTTGGTTAAGCATCTGACTTCGGCTCAGGTCATGATCTCAGGGTCCCGGGATCGAGCCCGCCTCCAGCCCCACCTTGGGCTCCCGGTTCAGCATGGAGTTTGCTGGTCCCTCTCCCTCCCCCTGCTTGTGCCCTCTCCATTTCTCTCTCAAATAAATAAATAAAATCTTAAAAAAAATATGTAATAATGGATGAAAAATATGATTCTACCACTCTGTATCTTTCAGGAAACTAGGACAGCTCCTAGGATTGGTATGGATGGGTAGCAGGAAGAGGAATTAAGATGTCTTAGGAAAGATACCTAAAACCCAAGCCCTGGCCTCAACACTTGCAACTAAAAGGTAGTTAACACGTGCTCCCATGTTGTTGAACTTGAAGTTGTTATAAATATTGAACTAAGTTCAAATGACTCCACTAAGGCAGAGTTCTAAATCACAACAATGGGCTTCAGAAAGAGTGGAAATGTGCCCAACTCAGAAACTCATATGCATATGCTTGAAAAATTGTAATTTTTTTTTTTTTTTTTTAGAGAGAGAGAGAGAGCAAGCATGAGTTGGGGGTGGGTTGGCAGAGATAATCTTAAGTAGGCTCTCTCTGCCCATCATGGAGCCCAAAGGGGGGGGGAGGGGCTCGAACTCATGACCTTGAGATCATGACCTGAGCCGAAATGAAGGGTTGGAGGCTTAACCGACTGAGGTATCCAGGTGGCCCTCTTTTTTTTTTTTTTTTTTTTTTTTTTTTTGTATTTTATTTTTAAATAATCTCTACACCCAACATGGGGCTCGAACTCACAACCCTGAGATCAAGAGTCGTATGCTCCACTGACTGAGCCAGCCAGTGACCCCCAAAATTAGAACTTTCTGTCAATCACCGGGCATCTTCATTCAAACATTAAACAATTCTTGCTCTGAAAAAAATAAATGTGGGACCCTTATTTGAAAACATTTACCTTCTAAAAGCAACTCAAGAATGGTTTGTTTCATGTCTGTTAAATCTTAGTTTTGCCCTTTACTCTATGGGATAGTGATGGTTTTCATTCAATTTGTCCCAGAATCAAAGGGATAAGGATGTAAATTCTATATTATAAATCCTAGCTTATTTTAGAAAAAAGACAAAGAAAAAAAAAGAACTGTAGTTACTTGTCATATATTTCCTGAAAGATGTCTTTAAAACGTCCATCATATTTCTTCAGAATAGTGTTTTTGGTGCTCAGATACAAAGGCCAACTCTTAGACAGAGCCATCTGGAAAGAACTGTGTGCAAAATCTTCGATCGACTTATCTTGGTTGTACATCCCCATAGCCACACCACCACCCTCTGTGGAGGGAACACCAATGAGAGGAAAAAGGAGAAGGGTAAATGGGGTAGAGTTGTAACCAAGTCCAAATCCACCCACCACCACCCAGGCACCCAATTCCCAGCTCCCATGGCTTCAAAAAGTCCCGCCCAGGCTTCAAACATGAATATTCCATGAGTTGCTGAGGCACATGATCGGAAGAAACTCAATTCTAGATAAGGGCATTCTAACTTGTTTTGAAAGGGCAATAGAAGTGAGAAACACACAGTCTTCTGGATCCTGAAGATACCAAAAATACTAAAAAGTATTGATATGAACCAGAAATACACTCAAGAAAGGGTGAATCCTTTTTAAGCTGTCTTTCACACTTTTTTTTTAATTTCACACATGTGTTTTCAACTCTGAGTGTGTGCTCCTTCCTCAGCCATTGAGAAAAATTGGCATTTCAAATATCGAATGAGAATTCTCATCATTTCCTGAAAGATACTGAAGGTTCATACCTCATTGGCAGAAATAATTATGCTACATGTCATCACTAGTGTTTCACGACTCTTCCTTGGTGAACTCTGTAGTTACTGAAAGAAAGCACTTGAATCTGTGCCATTGCCCAGGGCCAACCTAGGCTCAAAATGTGCAAGGCCCAAACCCGCAGGACGAGATTCCATTAAAATGATATTACTTAGAGGAGGCAAAGAGAACAAGGGCTAGGTCAGCTTTGAGCTTTTGTTTGTATGAGAGCTTTTAACCACTTCAGGAGTGGAGAAAGAGGCGTTCTCTGTTCTTTCAACTACCTTTGGGTGGCATTTGACACAGTGGACCTTTCAAGCAGCAGGATGGTGGGGAAGAAAAGGCAAAAAAACAAATGTTCACTTTCACAGAATAAACACTCAGGGCAAGAAGAAAATTTCAGCAAATATATAACGCAACCATTTTCAAATACAAACCCTACCAGAGCAAGGGGCAGATTAAGTGACAGGTGATATGGGATTATTAACGTTTAATTTCTAAAATTTAGGCACAACAGATTCCTGCCAACCTTCCCTCCGTGTTTCAGGAGAAGTGCAAAACTATCTACCTGTCTTTGCCCACATGCATTTCCAATTAAGTGGCTGGTTCCTTTTGTGTCTTTAGTCCACCCCAGGGGAAGGCATGGAAGCCAATTACTTCTTTACGTTAGATTTTGGGTCCTGTAGAAATGCTGTAGAGTCCAGGTTGTATTTTTGGCAGCCACAAAACTAACTTTTAAAAAACAGTACCAATATTGTCTAAGTGATCTGTAAAAAATGAAAAGATGTAGTTCATGATGGACTTACCTTCAAAGTTATGGACCAGGTATGTCATTTTTTTGGATCCATCACTTGACGTGTAGGTTATCTCGACTTTACCAGGCCCAGGAACAACAAAATCAGTTGCTCTGTACTGTGTAGGGGGGAGAAAGGTATAAAAACCAAACCAAACCAAACCAAACTATCCTTTCAAGAACTGTAAGGGAAGAAAAATCGTAGAATATAGAGCTGGAAGATACCTAGACAAACAGGGCAGTGAGGCTCAACCTTCATTTATTTTAAAAGATGGGGAAAAAAGAGGTCCAGAGAGTTCCCAAAGCAAGTTGATCCTACGGTAGAGTGGAAATCAGAATTTACTGGGCGCCTCCCATGGAAAGGGCAGTTTCCTGAGCACGGAGAAGGAGAGGAGAATGACAAAGCATTTTCTCTTAGGAAGCTTATATCCTAACAAGGACATACAAAAGTGAGAAGCAACCTAAGAGTTTTCAAATGTCAAAGGGGGGCTTAGATATGAAATGCAGTAGGATGACAGGGAGAGAGAAATGACCATGACCTGGAGGTCAAGGAAGTCTTTCCACAGGGGGATGATAATACACTAGCTATAGCATGGATGGTGACAAGAGCTAATGCCTTGTCCTCACTGTATGACAGACACTTTAAGTGACTAACTTGAACCATCTCGTTATCTCATTTGATTCTTCCATCAATCTTACAACAGAGGAACTGTGATATAGTGGAAATAATACATCTAGGGTCGAAAGACTTGGGATCTGGTCCTTAGACCTTCAGGGCTCAGTCTCTTCACGGTTATCATCGCTACTAACACCAGCCCAGGATTTGTCCAAAAGCAGCATTGACTGTGGAAGCAGTTGTGACAGGCTAGTTGGTGCCCCTCAGGAAAGGACTGTACGAGGACAGCCATCTTGTTCACGGGAGTGAGCTATGCTGGTGGAAAAATGTGCCTGGCCCCCACGAGGCATCTGTGAATTTCTGCCACGCTTAAATTAGAACATTTTTACAATCAGGTACCAACAGTTGCCAGCCATACCTATTTATTTAGGTTTGCATACAGTAATACTGATGACAGCTGGGAAAAGAACCATTGGGTAATCGTGAAGATTGAACATCTTTTCTCCACGGCACATTTCTGCCATATAAAGTCCTTCACTATGGGTGGAAACTTATTCCCATTTCTCAAAAGGAAGACACAGAGGCACCAAAGCCTCACAGATGCTTCGTAGAGGTTTATGCACATTGAGTTGAATCAACCCTAGGTTGGGAATTTTCAATCTGGACTTTAATGAAAAGAATGACCATTTTTCCAAGTGACTGATGCCAAAATAATTAAAAGAAAGCGGGGGGAGGGGGCGGGGACGATGAAAAAGACACCATGAACTCATAAGAACTTAAGAGTGTTCTTCTTGGGATATGCGAGTTTGTAGCGCTCCTGTCGACATTCTCTCTCCTGGGCCTCTGGAAGGTTTGGCCGGGATGAAGGGATAGTTTGAACCACAGGGCAGAACACAGTGAGCTGATCCTCAAGGACTGACCCAGTGACCCCGTCCCCAGGAACAGAGAGTGGTCTGACCTGGCCACACTGTTTCTGAGGACTGCTACATCAAAGCCTCTGGATTTCAGCATGAGACATTCTTATTCTTAAGGCTCTTTCAGGACATAAGCTGCTTTTTATGAAAGTCCGAAACCTCCGTTTCAACACGGATTTTGTTTAGTTGGCAGTTTTTCTGTTTAATTTGGCAATGAGCCTACTGGTACAAAAGTACAGAAACTAGTACTTCTTTCTTTTCCAAGTAGGAAAGGAATGTTTTAAAGAGAATACTTTCAACTACTGAATCAGTTTTTCCTTTTTTGCATGAAGAAATAATGTTCAGTATAATCTTTGGTGGTTCTCAACCCTGTCTGTACACTGACATCACCTGGGAGCTTTAAAATGTCTGAACCCCATGAAATTCAGATTCAGCTGGTGGAGGGCAGAACTCATGTACGGGAATTAAAACAAAAACCCAAATTTGTTTAAGAAGTAAGACAAAGCAAAAAACAAAACAAAAAAACCCGTAACGGATCTTATTGTATACCCAGGGTGAAGAACCACTAATTTGGCTGAACCATTGGAAATTATACAAAAATCGCCATATCATATGGTTTAACTTAAAGAAAAAAAAAAGAAAAAGATATATGGGGGCATCTGGGTGGCTCTAACTCTTGATCTCAGCTCAGGTCTGGATCTCAGGGTTGTGAGTTCAAACCTCACGTTGGGCTCCACACTGGGGGTGGAGCCCACATTAAAAAAAGAAAAGAAAAGACACAGGAAGAAAAAAACACATCTGAAAAAAATCATTGTGTTGAGACAGGTACCTATCTATAAGTTTATCTATATTTATTTCTACCTAAATACACAGATATACACATACACACTTCTCGATTTTGCACTTCACTTAAAGGGAGTAGACACCAAAAGAATAAAACATATAGCTCAGAACTTCTGGGCAGCCAAAGGTCACCAAAAAAGAGTATGGAGAATTCAACTATGCCAACACGACTTACTTGATCCCCATAAGCATGACGACCTATGATGATGGGTTTTACCCATCCACTCACAAGCCGGGGGATATTTTTGCAGATAATAGCTTCCCTGAAGACGGTGCCACCCAGAATATTTCGGATGGTGCCATTTGGTGATTTCCACATTTGTTTCAACTTGAACTCCTCAACCCTCTTCTCATCGGGCGTGATGGTAGCGCACTTGATACCGACGTGGTACTTCTTTATAGCTTCTGCAGCATCCCTGGTGACCTGGTCATTGGTGGCATCACGATTCTCTATACCTAAATCATAGCTGGGAGGGAAAAGTCATTAAGTGTAACTCTCCAGACAAACTGATGAGTGACTGAGGGTGTCACCATTCTGTGCATGGTGATGGCACGCAGAGCCCGCCCTGAAGAAAGGAGAGGCTCAAGTACACCTCAGTCTGCCAACTCTTAGGATTAGGGCACCTTAGACCCAGAAGACGGCTGCCAACCAAACAAAGCACTAAGAGAGGTGGACTATGAGCCACACCCACCTGTAGTGTGGGAAGCTGTCTAGAAGGAGACTGAATGGAAGCCATTGTGCTCCGCCCCTTCGCGTGCTCTTCACCACCAAGAGGCAATCATGGCATATGAGCAACCGTTTTTGCAGACTTCCTTCCATAAAATTAGCATAAAAACGTAAGCCTAAGCACTCATTTTCCCTTAGTAAATACTGTGCTCTAAAAATAAAGGGGACAGAGGGTTTAAAGGATTGTTTGTATTATGGCATTCAAGTGGTAGGAGCTATAAATGCCACAGCCCGTCCCAAAAATGCTCCCCACTTCTTCATTAATGCCAGTTAGTCAGAAGATGAACCTTTCCCTAATTCTTAGGTAAGTCTCTTTGTTCTGGAAATAAACCTGCTGTTTGCTGGGTAAATAATGGAATCCAAGGACAGATTTGTATCCCTCAGGGAGTTATAGTACTATACACCAATACCCAGGCTGCAGGTTATTCAGAACTGGAAAGAATGTTGGTTGTCCCTGGAGCATAGAAAATGATTAAAGCTTTATCTCAAGTATGTCACAGTTTGTCAGAAGCAGGAGAAACAAAACAGTAATGTAGCAGTTCATTTTGTCCACAAAGACTTCAAAAAAGTTTTTCAGCTTTTTTCAGCTTTCAAAACTTGCTAACCCATTAAGCCTCTAGGTTTCTTTTTTCAGTTCCTTTTAGTCTTTGCATTTTCCTTTCCTCCGCTATCTCAACTCATGATGCAAACACACAAAGATAGCAATCTTAATGTATTTCCAAATAAAAATTATTCCAAACTGCTGTGGCCTTAGATAATTCACTTACGTGTAACGAATCCACTGACTCTCTTATCTTCTGGCATAGGAAATGCTGAATACTACAAATGTCTAATCCTAACTCAAATGAAGACTGGGGTCAGCACTTTTCATGTTCGTAGGAACCATTTCTCATCAGAAGAATCTACCAGCAAATTAGTGGAGCTTTTGCTTCTCTTCTTAACGTCTCTAACAGAAGAGAATGAGTAAGTGGCCTGGACCACTGTCTAGCCTGCAGAAAACAAACACATTTTACAGCTATTACACCGGCAAGAACTTGGCAAATTCACCTACTGCCATGTCAAGTTCCTAACCAGGAGAGTGCTCATGAAATGCTTCCGTAACCCATTTGATGTTTTTTATGCTTCGTTTCCTGTATGTCTGGTTGACCTCTGCAAGTATTTGCTTCATCTTGGGGTTGCAATATAGACATTATCAACAGCTTGGGCTTAGAATAACTAAAAAGAGAGTCTAATGACACCACGTGAATGAAGTATCTATACCCAGGCAAAACAACAGGCTCTCGGAACACGTGGGTCTGATGAATAATTCTGGGTCAAGACAAATACACTTAAGACTTGCTGTAGTTTGGTTAAACTGTGTGGGTCAACATTTTGCCATGCCAGGCTTCAGCCACATCCCCTTTGGAAAAATTCTGCCTCTTCCTTGTTTGGATGTACAAAGAGCATGAGCAAATTTATAAAAAATCACAGGGAACAAAGGGGAGAATCCCACAGAGACTTTCACGTATGTCTCCAAACACTTTAAAGACAGAGCAATGGCTCAAATCCTTAGAACACAAAAGGTTTAAGGGATTGTCTACGGAAAGGTGGGGCTCGTATAAGTAACTTCAAGGGTTCTTTCTGTGTTGTAATTGTGTGAAAAGGGCAAAGCCAAGGAAAGAACAGGGGGAAAAGGTCCACTGACTAGTTAAGTAGAGTGATAGTAAACAGAGGTAGGTAGAAAGGATAAAACTGTGTTAACTACAATTACTTTACTGTTCAACGCAGACTGTACCTCTATTATTTTTCCTTCCACAAATAAAACCTTGTGCTGCTCTGAGCCAGCTTCACGGGAAATAGAGGCTTGGAAAGAGTGGAGGATCACTTTGTTCTCATCACAATTCTTTTCTTCAGAACAATGATAAGTCCAGTCTCTCTAGCCAATATGTCAAAATTGAAATAGAAAGTATGGGGCGCCTGAGTGGTCCCGTTGGTTAAGCGTCTGACTTTTGGTTTTGGCTCAAGTCGTGATCTCAGGGTTGGGAGATCAAGCCCCTTGTCATGGGGCTTAGGCTCCCTGGGGAGTCTGCTTGAGAATCTCTCTGCCCCTCCCTTCTGTGTTCTCTCTAAAAATAGAAAAATCTTAAAAATAAATAAATAAAATTAATAAAATTAAAATAGAAGGTTCATATACCTATATTTTGGCATCCCTCCCTCAAAAGCTTTATTCATAAGATACAGCTATAGCTATTTAAACAGCTAGTTATACCCCGAAATCACTTAGATTATGCTTTCTGAGTTTGCTGCTTACCTGTGCAGGTCCAGTTCCACATAGGGAAAAATGAGTTTTTCTTTAATCAACTCCCAAATGATTCGCGTCATTTCATCTCCTTGCATCTCTACCACAGAACCGCCACGGATTTTCTGAGACATTCTGACTTCAAGAAACCTTTAAAAAGAACAAAAGGTAAGACACAGGTCTTCTCATTTATTACAGTGTAAAAACAAAATACCAAGAATTCGGTGACTACTAAACACTATATTCACAACAGCACTATTGCATAAAAAGCTAATGACAATATATTTACCATTAGAATCGAGCACGTTCTCTGTATAAAGCGCTAATGGAAACTTTTCCCCTGGGGGAACATAACTGCAAATTGCTTTTATCCCTTTAAGTTATGGCTGAAGACTGGAAAAGTCAAGAGAACGGACTTAATTATTAGGTAAGAGGCCTATAAACAGTATCAATTGACAAGGTGAGCTAAAGTAATTTCATCTTTAAATAACAAAAATGTACTGGGGGGCACCTGCCTGGCTCAGTCTGTGGAATGTGTGACTCTTGATCTTGGGGTCGTGAGTTCGAGCCCCATGTTGGGTATAGAGATTACTTAAAAAAATAAAATCTTAAAAAAATACAAACCCAAAAATGTACTTATTAGCCAACTGTGAACATCAGTTCCTTGTGACAAGCAGGACATATTCCTAATCCTCAGGCCATTTTCACTTCCCAAATTTGTAATTCTAGAAGCCTGCTTATTAGTGTTTAGGAGGTTCCCTATACCATTACTGAGGAACCCTCTGGAACTCAACTAGAATAAAAGAAGTAAACAAACTGGTGTGGAGGAGTTAATTACTTCTGATGTGTAATTTCAAGTACGATTTACAGTAGAGCTTTAAGTTGATTCAGTCCTGCTGAGCCCACTGTCACATCTGTCCTTGCATTTAACACAAAACAAAACAAAACACAAAAAGAGGCAGCAAACTTATCTTGGTCTTGATACAACATTTCCATGGCTGCATTCCTACATAATATTATACAAGAGTTATGACTTGGCTATTTTTCCTTGATGGCAAATACAACTGATGGGTCATATAGCATCCTTGAGTATGTCTTACCTTGTCACAAGGAACTGAGGTTCACAGGCCACTAATGAGTACATTTTTGTTATTTTTTTTTAAAGATTATTTTTTTAAGTAATCTCTATACCCAACGTGGGGTTCGAACTCATGACCCTGAGATCAAGAGTCCTACATTCTACTGGCTGAGCCAGCCAGGTGCCCCCCAGTACATTTTTTGTTTTTTAAAAATCAAATTACTTCAGTTCAACTTGTCAAGTGATACTGTTTATACTGAATAATAGCATTTTTAAAATTATTTCCTTCTCAGTTGAACCAAACATTTTCTGCAGTAATTTTTCTATATCTCAGAACTGAAACATTTCGGGATTTCCTCACATTATCCATTAAAATTTTAGCACCTTTTAACTAAAAAAGTAAAGTTTTTTTTTTGTAGACTCTTGCTTACAACAACATAGGACATTATTTCTTTTAGATATAAATTCCCTGGGGTAGGCTTTAGGCCCCACTGGATTCACTTCTCTAAGCCTTGCTGCTCAGATTCTCCCTCTCCACCCAAACCCTGACTTCAGAAGGAAGGACTTTTCCAACAAGCCAGTTCATTTAGTCTGAAAGCAGGTGAATTCCAATATCATGACACACTTGTGTCATTCCAGAAAATAAACCTGGATGAATACAGAAAGATTTGCTTTTTTCATCATTTCATTTTCATCAACCCCAAAATTTCAGCCACATTTTCTTTAAGCTGAGTTCATGAACTACAATAATTTCTGGGCCAAAAAACAGTCTCTTGCAGAGAAGAGCTGCACTGAAAGAAACAAGGAAGCAGTTGCAATTTATTGTTGGAAATATCCCTGACTCATTCCTTGCAGTGCCTTCCCCTACCTCAAGACCTCCAAGACCAATTAAACGCAGAATTGCCGCATCAAAAAGTACAGAAGGGGAAAAATTGCTAATTCTCACCTTTACAACTTCTAATCACCCCAACTCCTTTCAATCTTGCAGACTCAATTAAGTGCAGTTTATTTCCTAAGACAAAACTAAAAGGGGAATAGAAAGACTTAACGTTCAAAACACGCCTGTCAGGAGGATTTAGCTGTTTTTAATAAGGGCCAGACAGCCGGGTTTATCTGGTTTAAAGTACAGCGCTGAGTATACCCAGAGGGCCAAAGGGCAGTTTTAGGGGCGCAGGCAGGCACCTGCCAAATAAAGGTTAAGGGAGCACAAATATCTCTGCCCGGCACACAATGGAGGGGGCGTCAGTGGGCGCGTCTCCGGTTCGTCATCCGTAAGCTGGTCTTGGGGTTTGCACGACCTTAGGTGACGCTGTGACCAGCAGGCTCTTGGTCAGCATACGTCCTTGTGGCCGTTGTGCAAGAGAGCTGCAACCCAAGCTGGCTCCGCTCCTCTCTCCAGGTCTCCACGCCCATCCCTTCGCTCTGCGGCCCAAGAACCTTTACCCCGGGAGCCTGGAGCCTGCTGCGGGCACGCTTCCTTAGAACTGGAAAACTGGAGACCCGAGCGGGGGCGGAGGTGTCCCCTCCACCCCATCCCGCCCCTTCCACGCCCCCAAGAGGACACTTCCACCCCGCCGCACCGCCAGTTCCAGCCACCTGAGTTCGCTGCACACGCCCAAGTCCATGGCTTCCACCTTTCTTTGCATCCAGCTCGCCACTGCCGCACGTTTTCTTCCCCCTAAACCCAAGACTTAGTCTTCCACGCCTCCTTGCATCCTCCCACCGCTCGATTTCCCTTTCTGCATACAGACCGGGGTTTCTATGTGTCACTGAAAGCAACTTTCCGCCGCCCGATTCCACCCTTCCGTGCCCAAGAGTGGGCCTTTTCCACATCCAGACATCTAGCACCCTCTTTCTCCCCATGTTTCTTCCCCACGCCCAACCTGGATTTTCCCCCTTCCTTTCGATTAGGGCTCGCCGCTAAATTCCTCTCTCCATACCCAAGATCTGAGCTTTCTCCCTTTTTCCCGTTCCATCTATTGGCTGGCTCACAGCTTCCCCGCAAAAGCCAGGGGCTGGGAGCCGCCCCTCGAAGCCTGCGGTTACCTGCAGGGGAAGGGACGCGGACGATGAGCTAGTGGCACCACAGCCACTCACACGCTGAAACTTACAAGCGTCTACACTGGCAATCCCTGCTGGGCCCCAGCTGTTGCAGCTTCAGACACCGCCTCCGTTCCGACACAGCGGAGGGCCTGCAGCGCAGGGTTTTGGCTCCGCCACGCTTTTGTCCCCTCCCAGGCCCGCCCCCTCAGCCCACCTCCCGGAGCTCCGCCCCCTCCACGCCGCCAATCGCCGCGCGCCGACCACTCGGGGGTGGGCGGAGCCAAGGGGCGGGGTCGAGTCCCGGAACTTCTGGGCTGAATTCGCTTCCCCCATCGCCGCACTCCCGGTGGGGAAGGGGCCGCGGCGCCCCCTGGACTCGGCTCCCGCTCCCTGCGGCGGAAGGACGTGAAAGCCACCTGCAGGCTCGGGACCCGGGCGCGCCAGGGCTGGTATTCTAAGACCCACGCCGCCTAGGGCCCCGCAGAGTGAATTTCCAGGTCTTCAGTAAAGGCGAACGAGGACGGAGCACCCCCGACTTCCGGCGCTACCTGGGTGTGCGGTAGACTGGAACGAGCGTTTGGCTGAAGGAAGAGTGCGGGCGGGGGGTAGGGAGCTTGAGGTGGCTTTGGGGGCTTCTTGGTGCAGCGAGAATGCAAAGGATTAAACAGCTAAACAAGCAGGCATACCATGGTAAATAATGTCCGCCACCACCAACGACTACGTCTTCAGAACTTCCGTACCTGTAATTCTAATTACTACCAAGTACATACTATAAATAAACCTAATTGTCATTTGCATTAGAAGATAAAGATAGGAGATTATTGTGTGGATCCCAGTGAAGCCGGAATAAAGATGTGAAGCCTTAAGAAAACAGTGGAATAAAAAAAAATTCTGCCCCCTGCAGGGAATTATTTTTTGTGTATTTCTTACTCTTGAAAACATGGGGGAGGAGTATTTTATTTCATTTTGGGGGGGGAGAGGTATTTTCGACACTGACTTGTAGTGAGTGTAATGCTTGTATATTGCTGTCCTGATTCAATGTTCCAAAATTTATTTTAAAAATTTGTAGCATCGGATTATTACAATTACTCTTGGACGATAAACCGGTATAACAGGCACCACGCAAGACGCATTTTGGACACTAGAGGGCACTGGTCTTTTTTCCCAAGAAAAAAGTAAGAAGAAAGAATACATAGCATCGCACTTGTTGATTTTTTTTTTTAAGATTGTATTTTTAAGTAATCTCTGCACCCAAGAGGAGGCTTTAACTCACAACCCGAGATCAAGACTCCTATGCTCTACCACTGAGCCAGCCAGGTAGCCTGCACTTGTTGATTTTTTGGGTGGATTAATGGAAAATAGGAGTCACCTCCATTTATTCTTGTGGAAATTATTATAGGGGAGTATAAGCTTGTATTTTCATTTAGAATTTGAGACGCAAAGTCACCTGAGATTGTAAATTTACTCCATTTTATATCAGGTTCACATTATTTATCACCCCTTGCCTACTACCAAAAGTATATTCATTCTTTAGAAAGGATTTAGGGCAGCTTTCAAGACACATACAATATAGCATGATAAAATACATTGAACGTATGTGAGAAGAGAGAATAAATATAGGAAATTATACAGAATGAAGGTGAATTTAATCACAAAATATATTCCATCAAATCCTAAATACTGCTAGAGATGGGCTGCAAATTAGGCTCTGAGCCTACGTGGGAGGCAAGTTAACACGTGGGAGTCTCAGCATCTTAAAACAGCGTTTCTTAAGCCAGTAATGTAGGAACTCCTTTTTCACTGAAAACACATTTTTTTGTAGATCCCTAGAATTGATTTATAATATGCATATATGTACACGCATAAAACTAGATATATGCTCCTTATGTGGTTAGCTCTTATACAACTAAAAAATAAATTTATAGACAAAATGATGATATGATATAGTATTATAAAAATAATACATTACCCATTGACAACATTAATTAAATGTAACAAACGATGTTTGGCTGAAGTTAAGTTACTGCTTGAAATGTGAATATGAAGCTCACTGCTTAGATTCTTGTTCTTTTTGAACTTAGCTTGCCTATTCTGGGTGTCATGTGAAGATTCATTTAGCACACCGTTTTTCTCTGTTTGGTTAATATTGCATGCCTTGACATCATTGGTTTTCATTTGGACAATAAAAAATCTGAGTATTTTAATATTAGCTGGTTCTATTTACTGTTGTAAACAAATAGAAACATGGGCTATGAAATTTCTGTCTGTATTTGGTTATGACACCCTCATCTAGATAATAGGGGATTCTCATAAATACTTTAAGGCATTTGTGTTTTCATTTTGATGATCTAAAAAAAATGAAGTAGAATGAACAGTTATTCTACCTTGTGGAAATTTACTTCATTGAAATTTATTGGCCATGAAGATTATGGGAGAAAGAACAGTGCAGGTGATTTCTGGGGTTAGGGTTTGGGTGATAGGGTGCCCTTCAACAAAGAAGGGATATAGATAGAGTCACAGGTTTGATGGCCAAGAAAATGAGTTAAGTGTAAGGTTTGTTAAATTTGAGATGCCTGTGGGACAGCAAGATATAGATGTTAAGGAGGCAGTTAGCTACATGAGTTCAGGAGGGGTGTCTGGGCTAAAGAGAGAAATCTGAGAATCTTTAGCATTGTTATGGGCTAAATTGTGTGTCCTCCTTTTCTCAAAATTCATCTGTTGCAGCTCTAACCCCGCTATACCTCAGAATGTGACTGTGTTTGGAGACAGGACCTTTAAAGAGGTAATGAAGATTAAATGAAGTCATATTGGTGGGCCCTAATCCAATCTGACTAGTGTCTTTTTTTTTTTTTTTTTTTAAGATTTTATCTGACAGAGAGAGAGCACAAGCAGGGGGAGCAGCAGAGGGAGAGGGAAAAGCAGGCTCCCCACTGAGCAGGGAGCCCAATGCAATGCGGGGCTTGATCCCAGGACCCTGGGATCATGACCTGAGCCGAAGGCAGATGCTTAACCAACTGAGCCACCAGGTGCCCCTGACTAGTGTCTTTATAAGAAGAGGAAATTTGGACACACAGGATGTGCATGCATAGAGGGATGAACGTGCATGCCATTTATTTGCAAGCCAAGAGGGTAGCCATTTATTTGCAAGCCAAGGACAGAGATCTCAGGAGAGAGTAACCCTGCATGCACCTTGATCTTGGGCTTTCAGCCTCCAGAACTGTGACAAGTAAATTTCTGTGGTTTAGGCCACCCGGTCTGTGGCATTTTGTTATGGCAGTCCTAGCAAACTAATATAAGCACGTATTGATCGTAGCTGAAGCCAAGGAATTTATGAGGTCATAAGCTAGAAGTATACAGTAAGAAGAAAAGTCTACCTCAGTGAGAATTCTGTGGAATACTTCACATTTTTAAACAGCCAGGTGGAGGAAAAGTAGTTCCCAAAAGAGAATGGCAAGGATTGTCTGGGAGGTAGTAGAAAAATCAGCACAGACTGATGGGAACCAAAGAGAAAGTTTCCAAAAAGGAGGGGGTACTACAGAGAAGGCAAGGAAGACAAAGCCTGAAAATAATCTTGGCAAGTCGGTGGACCTCACAAATGCACCTAAAGAAGAATAATTCTATCAGAATGATTCTTAATGAAGCCATACTCTACGGGATTATCGTTTGGGAGGTGGGGAAAGGGAACATAACTCTTTTAAGAAGATTGACCATGAAATGAAGAATCATGCTCTATAAAGTCTTAGCATAATTTTTAATGACTGCATAATTGTCCAACATTTGATTGTATTGCTTTCCTGTTGTGTTCATTAGAAATTTGTTTCCTTTTTATTTATTTATTACTGTTTTAAATAACTGAAAAATATATTTCACTACATTCTACTTTGCACTAGAATTAGTTCCTTAGGCATGATTGCTAGAATTGCAATTGTTGGATCAAGGAGTATAAACAATTTTAAGGCGCTTGTTAGATCCATCAAATAATTTTCTAGGAGGGATATACCTATTTATGTTTTCACATGCATGTATGAGATGCCAATTTCATTACTTCCTAGACAGAACTGAATTTCATGATTTTTAAAAACATCTTTGTGTTCTCTACTAAAGGGATCCTTACAGAACTAATTCTAGACCTGGAGCAAGGATAGTTCAAGCTGAATCTGGTATATTTTATTGGGTAAGAAGGTAAGGAAGTGCTCAAAAAGGGGGAAAGGCATGTCAAATGTACATGGGAGCTGCTTGAAGGGGCTCTCACTGGGCAAATCAGGGAAACCTTGACTCAAAAAGAGTGGTGCAGTAATGAATCATAATATACTATAAAAAAATCACGGGTCTGTACTGATACTATTAAAAATAAACTGAGGCATATTACAATTTTTAAGAGTTTATTTGAGCAGGAATTGGGCATTGCCAAATGTGAAATGATTGGAAGCACTACAATGACAGGAGCTAGGGGAAAGACTTTTATAGAGAAGAGGCAGAAGCAAAGCAAGGAAATTATTTGATTGACTACAGCTTAGGCAGTTGCCGTGTTTGGAAAAGCCTTAGGTGGTTGTTTGTGATTGGTTATCCTTAGGTTTCAAATTCATAACCTTGAGGCATTACAGGCTTAGGTTTTGGTTTGCTTGTATAGGCTACTAAGACATTAGAACCATCTCAGTCTAATGGCTTCCTTGTTTAATTAGTTGAATACTAGGAATCAATATAAAAAAAGAAAAGGAAAAGCTATTTTGAGTACAAATGCAAGTGATACCTGATGGAAGAATATAAGCATAGTACCATCATAACAATGATAGACTCAGTAAGAATCATAAATATGTGTTTCAACGAAGGGTTTATTAGCGGTCACACCCAATAACCCCAGCTTTCTCACTCAGATTCTCTGCTGAGAATGATAGTCAAGGTAATGGGGCAGGAGGAATGGTGTGATGTGGAAGAGCAGTTGAGAAATGGAAGAGGAAACTGACTACTCTTAGGATGATTGCTGAGGGCCCCGCTGAGGGTGATGAGGATTTCCTTGTACTGGTACCAGTCTTCGGGCTTCGATGCTGCTCTCTATCGGCCGAGAAGGCTAACTTGAGGAAAACTGGGTAGGGATTTGCCAAAACTCTTGAGGAAAGGGCCTGAAGAATTTAATTATAATAGCACCGCACTCTGGGTTTCCTTTCTGACCGCCCCTGCCAAGC